CAAGTTTACATAAATACATGCATACATACATACATATATATGTACATACATACATACATATATTCATATATTGTATATATCAAAGTTCGATTCAGTGCCCAAGCTCCTCTGGCTGGTCTGTCTCTCGTGTCGTCCTTGTTGCATACAAAAGGGCAACCAAGCCGAAATATTTTCAAGTTTCCCCTTTGGCTTATTTACATGTGTAACGACGGTTCCTTCCACTCATGTTATGGACAGACAGGGTGTGGGGGAGGCCGTTTTGTTTGGTGGCAGTGGGAGTGGTGGGCATGCGTGCAAGCGGCATGATTTATATTGAAAATTGAGGTTTTTTGTTTGCATGCTTGTTTCAGGTTTGCGTTTTTATCACAATGGAATGTTCGATATTTGATTGGGTTTTATGCATGAGCTGATGGCAGGACCTGCTATAATATCATCTCTCATTCTTTCCCTACTCTATTATCATGCAAGTGGCAAATGAAGCTTGACGTCATGAGTATAAAGTTCAACTGATATGCAAATATTGTTTATATGTATGTGTATACGTGTGCCGGTGTTGGTGTTGGTTTTTACAAAAAGAAAGGCTTCCTCTTGTTATTTTTTTGTTTTAAATAAAAAGTGATAGGTGCTTGGATTTTTTAATTCGTTTGATTGTTTCTCTAACGAAATAATAGAGCTTTCACGGCACTTTAAACAATTTTTATGTTAATATAAAAAATTATATCAAGCAAATATCAGCTCGCCCCCTCGTTTTAGTGACAAGATGGGAAATAATTTAATATAATGAGCCCTCAAGATATTGCTCATATTTAATCTATTCCATTTAGTCTCAACTGGCAGCATATGAATGTTTCTGCTTTTCTTTCTCAGAATGTGGAAATGAAGCGAAACAAACAGGGGAAAAAAGTTAGAGCTGGAGCATTTTTGTCGAATCATTTTTTTCTGTCAAAAAGCAAAAGTTGATAAGAGAAGAAACTATCAACGAAAGAAGACTATGTACTTGAATAGTTCAACTAAGAACTATTCGAATGGAATAATAACATTGGGTTTTGCCAAAAAAAAAAAAAAAAACGAAGATTCTTTGTCCCTACATCGAAGTGAGAGGCAGTTTGAATCGAAATGTTCTTATTGCTTTTGTCGAAACTGGAAACTCTAAATAAAACGATTTAAGAGTATTTAAAGCAACTAAGTTTATAGGTTATAGTGTTATGCTGATACAAAGAAAAAATAAGGGGAAGATGCTAACTTAATTATACAATTCAAATCTTTTAATTACTTTTAATCATATCTTAGATCTAAGATTAAAATATTAAGCAAGTGGCTGTGTAATACTCTTTGACTCTCAACAAATGCAGCTTTGTTGTCATATCCCTTAGATAATGTAATAGAATGTTATTCCCTGGGACGACCCACAAAACTAATTCACCCCAAGGATTTGGCGTTGCTGGTCGCATCTCGCCCTTGCAATGACAAATAAAATGGTATGACCGCCATAAATGTTGTGCGGTACAACTTATATCTGCGAATGAACAAAAAATTCGTTGTATAATTGCATCAAAGAAAATCCCAAGCGCATCAAAACGCGACCCGAGCTTCCCTGCCATTTTATTCACTCACAACAATTTAGTTAATCTCACTTAGCCGGGTTTTAGCTCAAAAGGACGAGGGGATGCAAAAATGTACATCCTTACTACTTGCATCTTAAAAAAAAAATAAATAAATAAATAAAAAAAAAATTCTGTACGTGCACACAATGGCGAATGGCGAATGACAGAGAACAGTAGCAGAGCAAGAGCAAATGAATACAATATGAAAATGGCGTTTCATTTTACTCGCACTTCGTCTATGTATGTATGAAAGTATATACATGTACATACATACATACATGGGGTGTGGGTATGTGTGCATAGGAATGGAAATTGCAATGGCAGGCAGGCAGTAAAAATGCAAAAGCAAAACAAGTTGACAGTGACATTTAATATCCTTATTGTTAGCACAGGGAATTTATTGCTAACAAAGTCGTTAAGTAGGCTAAAGTGTGTGGTTCGGTAAGTAAGCCGGAGAGGGGGATACAACGAGGTCCGAGGAGGATTTGCATCTGAGTTGAAAATCGCCAAGTGCCAGGACCAAACCATGCCAAGAGTCTAGAGTTGCATTGAGTTGCAAACGGCTAATAAGGTCGTTACAAAATTGAATTTTGAGCACAAGCTGGTAGAGGGTCGAGATCCTATGTGGTTGTGATTGAGGTGTTTGATTAATGGCCTGCCATTGGCAAAGTGCCTGTACTAGTAACACGAACCATTCGGCAAATGGAGAGAAAATGCACTTGAATATTACTGAGTTCAGACTACGATTGGAGCAAATGTGTTGCTGTCTCGATGTGTGAATGAATGCTAATAGAAGACAAGGCTATTTCCAAGTTTAAATCTTTAGACTAACAGAAATGTTATGTTGATTAATATTTTTAGCACTTCAAAGAATTTTCTTCTATTTGATTGAACATCTTCTCTAGCTTTTTTCACCACTCTATATCTGATTGGTTCGATTTAACTATCAAGTGGGTTCCAAAACAAAAGCTGAAAGACATATTAATTCGATTCGATTAAATTTACTTGCTGTATATGGCAAGTTTTTATTTAATTTTGAAAGTCAATTTAAGTACCTTATTCAAGTGAATTCTCTTATATGTACTATATGTATAATAGGATATTGTTCAATAAAAAATATTGTGAACAAGGACAACCCATAGATTTCCAAAAACTTAAACATTCATAAAGCTCGTATCACATGTGTATCTTAATCTTTTAAATACCGTGTACCCAAAGGATAAAACGCCTAAACGCCAAATCAAGCTATGTCTGTTGCTGAAAACATTTGAATAGAAGCTTTTCCAAATAGCTCTACCAGCTTTTGTTTTTGAATGATATTAACTCTTGTAGGTTAACCTTATCAATGCAGCATAATTTTTTTTTGTTTTATTCTTAATCCTTAATTTGACAGATAAAAAGCGAAATGCTTAAAAAAAAGATGAATGGCACTGATTTTCATATTATGCATGATTCGTCTATGTATGCCTTAGAATACCTGGACTTCGGAAACTATATGAGAGATAGCGGTATTGAACTTATCATGTAAATTCCTCTAAGTCCGAGTAATGCCAAAACTGCTTTAGTAAGTTTTCTTTTTATGGCCAAGAGGTACATGCTGTTTTTATTAGCATACTCTTAGCCCCCCTTCACCCACACGACGTGTGTGGCATTACTAACACCCATTGGCTCGTCCTTAGCGTGTGTCCTCCCCTTCCCTTTCGGCTCGCTCCTGCCGCTTATTATGATGCTCGTTATGGCTTGTTGGCTGCTCGTGAAAGTGCTTGCAATAACGGAGCCCAACTGAAATCAAATAAGGCTACATTACTTGGGCAGACACAGAAGCACACATACATACATATGTATGTACTCGTACTCATACAAACGAAATTTGTTCCGCAACATTGATTTAATCCTTTTTTGTTTTACCACCCACAGCAACTCAAAAGAGTGACAGATTCAAACCATTCGTGACGCTGCTTCTGCATTTCTCCTTAAATTTTTCATGGATTTTTGTTCGCATGCCCTTTTCCGGCATTTGCGGCCTTGAACTCACTCCGCATTATCATAAAATCTCTTTTGGCTGCTCCTTTCTGCTGTTCCCTTACTTTTTTGGCTTTGTACTTGGTCCTATTTGCGCCTCCGATACATTTACTGATTGACTTTGAAGCACATTTCCCATGCTTTCCGCTTGTTTGAACGCCTCTGAGTTTCGAATGATATCGGCGTGGAGGGGCAAGGACGAGGGCATGCCAACATGTGTGCACACAAATTATCTATATTACTTATACGCTAGCTTGTCGTAAACAATATGTGATTTTTGTTTGCACAACAGAAGAAAAAAACATTCTGTGCTGAGTTCGTGCATAAAATTTAGACATTTTTTAGAGCAACCGCACTCGTTGACTTGAACATGACGTCCAATATTGCTAGAGAATAAATTGAATTTGCAATCTACAGCAATGGCAAACATATGTCCAAAGATGTTTAAATCTTAACTAGAAATTCTTTGCAATTATATAAAAATATAATTATTCTAGAATTGAAGGTCAACTATATAACTATAAATTGTATTGCATTGATTTCACATTCCAAGCAGCTTACCTATGGGTTTTAATTAATTAACAATTAATTAACTTACAATTAAAGCTTCAAGTGTTAAGTCATATCTGGTTTTGATACATCTTTAATAAAATTATGGCCTCAGCTGTTTTAATTTAGTTTTTCTAAAGTATCAATTGTCCGCCAGCTTAATCGCGAAATTAAATTAGAATCCGGCTAGAGGTCACACCCTCTTGATCTTGCCAATAGATTTATAAAAAGTATAAATAATATAAAGTTAAATAAGACTAAGCTGCTGGCTTAAGCGGCATTTGCATTTAGTTATGAGTTTAATTTCAGTCATAAAAATAACAGCATAATTAAAGTGGCAATTTCAAAAAAAAAAAAAAAATATATATATATATATATATATATATATATATATATATATATATATATATATATATATATATATATATATATATATATATATATATATATATATATATATATATATATAAAAGCTAGAAAATTCAACATTCAATAAAAACTGTCAATACTATTTCAGAAAATCATTTGTAATGAAAATCAGTTTGGTTGATCTGCCCGTTAATATACTTTTTAAATGTATCAACAAACCAATATTACCTATTGTAAAATGTATAATAATGGTATCATGATCAAAATACCTATTTTCAAATTTGAGTAATATATTCGCGGACATTCAAGCACCTGCTGTCAATATTGGGAGGTTGGCAAAAATTTGAGATACTTCGTAAAAGCTGTAAAGTGCAACACGTTGACACATTGCTCTGTCACCTATAGCCAGCGATGGTCCAACTAGCCAGAGACCCTTAATAAACCACGCTGCTCGGCTACAATTTCCGGGAGTCTTTATTGCAGTCACTTAGCTACCTACGACTATCTAAACCAGCAGCTCATGCACCTCGCTCAGCTGAGCGGGCAGATGAGCGACAGCACGAGCCAAATCTGCAACAGTACAGGCATATAGATAGCCTTTGCTCAAATTACGATTCTGGAGCCAACGTAACCAGGCGACCAGCTCCTGCACCGGCTCACATATCACATACTCGGCCTCAAACTGGGCCTGTGTAGCGAAGGGATTGTTGACGCCCACCAGCGCTATGCCGCGCCACGGATGTACACTGTCGATGAGGACACGGTAGAAGAGGAGCGGGACCGGTAGCACGCCATTGTTGTTGGCATCGCGGGCTAGGAAAAAGCCGCTGCCTTCGCTGCCAGGCATCGACATAACACCCCAGGTGCCCGTATACACGCTCACATTTAGCCCTCCCCGGGCCACAAACTTGCGCGTCTCATCCTCCACAGCAAGCCACTGGCCGCCATTGAAGATCTGCCACTGTGGCGCCACATTCAGATAGTTGAAGGTGCTGCGCTGCTGGCTGGCATAAATCAAGTCCGCTTTGGCCGCCAGATGACCGCGCGATAGAAACAAGCCACGGGGCACATCAAAGAGCCCTCCTACATTGCCTGGATTGGAGCTGGCACCCAGCAGCTGTGCCGCCTCCTCCATTTGATGGCGCTGGGAGTAGAGTGTATGCATGTTATAGCCGGTAAAGTGACCCGCCTGACTGAATTCCGTGCGCTTCACTTGCCGTTGAAAGTGCACGCTCGCCGGCACCAGACGATGGTGCGTGTAGTGCGTGCGCAGCTGGGAGGCATCGTGGCAGATCTCCATGGTAGTTATAAAGCGTTGGTCGCTTATGTTATAACCAACCCGATAGAGATGGGCCTGGCCGCCCGCCTCCTCTCCGCACTGCTGCTGCAACCTCTCCACGCTGTAGCGAAGCGCCTTTTTACAGACAAAGTGTCGAAGCTCGTGTTTCCCACCCACCCACTCGAATGTCCTGTCGTGCAGACAGCGCGCGCTTATGCTTCGCGTATTGTGCGCCACCTGCAGCAACAAGGGTGCATCCTCGTCGCTATCATCCTCGTCTTCGTCCGTGTTGGCGGTGGCACTGACATTAGCAAAGGATTTTGTGCAATGCAGTTCGATGCTGGCGCCGCGCGGTATTTGTAGCTGGCCCTTGCCATTGGGTAGCCAATATTCGGAGGTATGTGGACGAAGGTAGAGCGGCTGCACTTGATTGGGGCGTGGTAGATCCTTTTGGACATCCAATGTGCATGGCGGACCTAAGAAAAATGAATTTGTGTCTCACACTCTTATCTCAAATATCAATTTTAAAAATATTATTATGTGACTTCGACTAAAACTTAGTGTATAACGTCATTCTACATTTAGAAATGAGAAGCTTCAAAGAAACTGAGACCTTTTTTTTAAACATAAGACATTTGTTTGTCTTAACTGTCTCTACGGCTTTATTAACACTATTGCCAAAATATTGACTTAATTTTTAAGCAAATCCAGAGTGTACTAAGTATAAGTAAAGTGTTATTTATATGAAATTTTATTTATGCTTACAACAACTGTTTTTGTGAGTTTTCAAAGCAGCTGCTTTCTTATGAGTTCTTAAAGAATTCTTAGGAGAAAAATGTTGTTCTATTAATGCTCGGAATGTGTGAAAGAAGAGTTGTTTTGTTTATTTATTTAGTTAATAAAATTAAAATAAATAAATTAATAAAATTAATTAAATAAAGCACTTCCATACGAAGTTTTCTTTTCATGTAAAGAAAACGATTCATAGAAACAAAAATCAAAAAATTGCACCTAAATTTAAATTATCGTTGAAAGTTTTGAAAGCTTGCATCCGTAGTGCACATATTATATGCTTATTATATTATTATATTTTTATTGTACTCGTATACGGAATATATTTTGTAATTCTATTTCTATACCTAATTGTCAATAAGTTTCGTTAAAATTAGTCGCTCATTCATAAATTGTGGCTTGTCATTTATACAATTTTAGAAAACCTACGCGCATGTTTTGTCTTTGCCGACTTGAGGTCAAGAAATGTATTAATAAACGAAGAAATGTTGGAAATAATAAAGAGGGTCACCAACAGTTAAATAAATCTTTAAGCTTATAACACCGATATAGCCAAAAATAAAAATAATGTATACTTGCATTTCCTTACTCACCTCTCTCAATTATCGTATCCACATGCAGGTCTTCCAAATCTTTGATTACTTGTTCCACATCTGTTGCTGGCCTAATTGCTTCACGTGCGCGAATTTCGCTCACGATCATCGAGACAAATAACAGAAAGAGAAACCCACGGAGCATCGTCTTGACGTGGCTCAGTCGCGGCGCTCACTGAATTACATGCGGTGGGTTACAGGTGGTTTTTAGCTCGACGCCGATTCTTCGCTGCCGCTGCTGTCGTCGCGCTGTCTGCTATTTCGTGCAGCTCACCTGCTCTGTCCCACCAGCTACCTTGTTTGTTTTGTCTTGATTTCTTCTCATTTGTTCTGCTGTCGTTATCGTACATTTTCACTCAATGCTCTCGCGCTGCCAGTGTTTTTATTGTTCTTGTTGTTGTTGCTGTTGCTGTTGCATTTTTAATGCGCGAAAGCGCTTCCGAATTCTTGTCAAGCATGTGTACGAGAGTATGAACAAACAATCTCTCACTCTTACACACGCATACACTCACCCAACCACACAGTCTTAATTTGTGTGAGTCTTTGAACTGTGTTAACGAAACGAAAACAAAAGTTTCTCAGCATAATTTTTGAGCAATTCTTCGCTTTGATGTGTTTGGATACTCTCTCTGTGCGTTCTACTCAATAGAGTCTGTTAGTTTTGTAATGTTAATGTTAATGTCATTAATAATGATTTCTAAAAGGTTCCATAGGTTGTATAGAAACTATGAGATGTGTCATTTAGAATTTATAGATATAATATATAAGTTCATACTAATTACAGGTTAAAACTTAAAAGCAAGTGCATAGAGTCTTTTCTTTTATAACTATATGCATATTTTTGCCTAATGTGTCCATTATTGAATTTTATTTACATTTTAGTCAATATTTTGTTCAACAATTTTAGCTTTTTATATATTGAATATATGTATGTGATTCGTAATACTTTATTTATCTGCCTTTATATTGTTTATCTATGTATCTACCTAACCGATTAGAACAATGCAAAAGCTAGTTGTCACTGTTAGTTTAATTATATTAGAATATTTATATCTAAGAAGCATTTATTATATCTCGAATATGAGAATAATGTCAATCCAGTCTAACTCAACTCTTAAATTAATATAGTATACAACATAGTAAAAAATTGACTGCTTTAAACATTTACAACAATTGCAAGATATTTTCATACCTTCAAGTGGAGCAAGAAAAAATAAATATGTTAAGTGCAAATACACAATCTTATAAATATTGTATTGCCATGTTTACGGAAGCTTATCAAACAACCCACCCACTTGATGGCCACGAATTTTTTTTGGCCTTGCTCGCACATCTTGTATTAAGTGACGTGAAATGGAAAGTAGCGCAAATATAGTATACAAGAAAGAAAAAAAAAGAACAAAACGAGCTCCACTTCAAACAAATGCAATAAAAACTATTCAGACCCATTTCCATGCCCTTGATAAGATAAACAAAAAGCCACGAACTCCAGGGCCAAGATAACGATTGTAAAAGTCACTGCCTGGGAAAGCCTGCCAAAGTCTCTATTGTAAAAGTAAATGAGGGCGGGCCCAAGGCCGCTCACTCGTTCGCTCGTGTCCAGTAACGGCACGTGAACAAATATTGACAGGCAGGCCGACAAGTTGTAAATTGCCCTGCCAAGCCAAGCCAGCCCAGCCAAGGCACCATATAGACCAGCAGCAACCGATAAGGTATGCTTATCAAAAAGAGACGAAACGTGCACGTTGTTGAGTAGTGGCAGCAGATTTATGAGGTAGTCGTAAAACAAAGAAAACTAAATTACATTGGTTACGTAAACTTGTAAACTAGCGTATGATGAACGTTATCAAACGCCTAGGATCCCATTCACCTGCAGGTCTTCCAGCGGCAAGTCCTTCACCACAGCAGTGAAGTCGTCGACTGTACAGGCATATGAATAGCCACGGTTCAGATCGTCCTTAGTCCAGCTAACCCAACTCAACTGATCACCAATATCTTCGCAGATGAGATAGTCACGCTTGATTTCCTCCACATCGATATGGGGATTGTTAACGCCAATCAGCACGATCCCATTGCGACTCTCGCGATCGATTATGACGCGATAGTAGAGACGGGGCACTGGTATCAGTCCATTATTGTTTTTATCAAAGTTTAAGTATAGCTCCGTCGGAACACCATTTACATCAGGCAGCGTCGACACGCCCCAGGTGCCAGTGTAGCAGTCTACGGTCAGACCCTCACTGGCCACATATTTGCGCACACTATCCTCGACTCGCTCCCAATTTCCAGCGTTGAAGTTTTGCCATTGCGGAGCCGCATTGATAAAGAAGAAGGTCGCCCGCTGTGGTGAACCAAAGATAAAGTCTGTTTTGGCTGCCAAATGACCACGCGCCAAATACACGTTGCCACTTATGTTGAAGTAGGGGGTTACATCTGTTCCCAGAATTTCAGCGATGGTCAGTTGCTGTTGAACCTGTGTATACATGCCATTCACATCCTTGCCATCATAAAAGTCGCCGGTGACGAATGTAGGACGGCCCACCGAACGCTGGTACTGTGCACTGGAGGGCGTTAGCACATGATGCACATAGCGAGTCACCTCGACATTCTCATCATGGCACGCATCGAAGAGGTGCAGGAAATCGTCTTTTGTGGCCAGCTCAAAGCCGACTTCGGCCAGATCCGTGCCGCCATTACACTCACGACCGGTGCGACGAGCTGCATATTTTGGCCAGGCACTGCACACAAAGTCGCTGAAGCTAAACACACTGCCTAACACTCTCAATTGTTGCGTACCTTCACAAGTGGCCTCCAGCTGACGGTGTTCCTGGAATGGCGCAATAAAGGCATCTGTGCAGTGCAGCTCTAAGCGCTCGCCATGCAGCAGCTCCACCACGCCTTCGGCATTGGGCTCTACGAAGTTGGCCTTACCACTTTCCCCTTCACGCACCACGAACAGTGGCGCTGGGTCATTGAAGTCGGCGCCATTCACACTTAAGCTGCAGCCGGACTCCGATGGCTTATTTACACCCAATAGACCCGTGGTATGCAGCTGCTCTACTGGCAAATCCTGTACCACTTTAATAAAGTCCTGCACATCACAGGCGTATGAATAGCCAAGAGGCAAATTGAGCCTATCCCAGTCGATCCAGTCTATGTAGACGCCCACATCCTCGCATACGACATACTCTTCCAATATGTTGGACAATGAGGCATGAGGGTTATTGACAACGACCAAGGCAATACCTGCGCGACTTTCCTGATCAATAATAATGCTGTATACTAAACGCGGCACTGGTAGACGACCCTGCTGCTTTTCCTCGTCCAAATAGTCTAAATAGAGTGGAGTTTCTTCGCCTGCCGAATTGGGCAATGTGGAAATGGACCAACTGCCCGCATGTACGCTTACGTTCAGTCCCTGATCAGCTACATAGTCGCGCACACTACGCTGAATACGCTGCCAGTTTCCAATATTCACGCTGCGCCATTGCGGCACCGCATTTACATAGAAATGTGTGGCTCGTTGCGCCGAGCCGTGCACAAAGTTCTGCCGCGGAGCCAACTGTCCACGTGTCAGATATAAGTCACGACTGCTATCGAAGTAAATGCTAGCATCTACTCCCAACGTTTCGCTAAAAATCTCCTGCTGATGCGACTGTTCGTAAAGCAAATTCACATCCTTGCCCGAGTAGAAGTCGCCACGCAGAAAGCCTGGCTGTGAAACGTCCCGCTGATAGGCCACATTGGCGGGGGTCAGCTCGTAGCGCACATAGCGAGTAATTTGTGTGAGTTCATCGAAGCAAAGCTCAATATGCGGCAAAAAGCCGGCGGCCACATCAAAGCCAATGTTCACCAATTCCGTTCCACCTGCGCATTCTTGACCCGTGCGCAGCGCCACATAGGTTGGCCAACTCTGGCAGCTAAACCTGTTAAACGCTACTTCGAGACCCTCGGCCAAATAGCTCTGATTACCCAAACACTGCGCTGTCAATGCCGTGAATCTGTTGAATGGAGCAATCAGTGCACCCGTGCAGTGAAGTTCTAAGGATTCACCTTCGTTCAGGACAAATCGTCCACTATCATCTGGTAGCAGCCAGCTTAGTGCACCGTCGGGTGTGAAGAGTGGTGCAGGATCGTTCAGATCGCCATTGATGTTAAAGTAGCAGGTGTTGGGTGTCGGCTCTGGAGATGTAGGGGAGGGTAATGTAGGAGTCGGTGCTGGTTCAGTGGTTGGACCCGCAGGTGCAGTGGTGGGGGAACTAGGCGCCTCGGTAGTTGAAATGGGTTCTTCAGTAGTTGGACTTGGTGATGCAGTGGTGGGGGAAGTGGGTAGCACAGTGGTTGAGCTGGGCTCTTCAGTGGTTGAACTGGGCTCTTCAGTAGTGTGAGTTGTTGATGCAGTGGTGGACGAGCTGGGTAGTTCAGTAGTTGAACTGGGCTCTTCAGTGGTTGAACTGGGCTCTTCAGTAGTCTGAGTTGTTGATGCAGTGGTGGACGAGCTGGGTAGCTCAGTAGTTGAACTGGGCTGCTCAGTAGTTGGACTAGGCTCCTCAGTGGTTGAACTGGGCTCTTCAGTGGTTGAACTGGGCTCCTCAGTAGTTGAACTTGGTGGTTCAGTGGTTGTACTGGGCTCCTCAGTTGTGGGGGAACTAGACTGCTCAGTGGTTGGCACTTCCGTTGTTGTGAGATCGTCAAGACCCAGAATTCCACTTGTCTGCAAATCCTCCAAAGGCAAATCCTTTACAACCGCTGTGAAGTCTTCCACAGCACAAGCGTACGAGTAGCCCTCATTCAGATCTTCCTTTTCCCAGGTGACCCAACTCAACCGATTACCAATATCCTCACATACCACATAATCGCTCATTATTTCTTCTAAGCTGGCATATGGATTATTAACGCCAATTAGCACAACACCTTCACGGCTCGCCCGATCTATTATGATGCGGAAATACAAACGAGGCACTGGGATCAATCCATTGTTGTTCTCATCGAAATTAAGATAGAGCTCCTTTGGCACGCCCTCAACATCTGGCAAGGTCGAGACACCCCAGGTGCCCGTGTAGCAGTCTGTGGTTAGATTGCGATCAGCCACAAACTTGCGCACGCTCGTCTCTACTTTCTCCCAGTTTCCGCCATTAAACGTCTGCCATTGGGGTGCCACATTGATGAACAGAAACGTGGACATTTGCGTTGAGCCAAAGATTTGATCCGTCTTCGCTATCATATGACCGCGTGCAAGTATCCTGTCCTCAGTGTAGTTAAAATATGGCGACGCATCCAAACCAAGTATTTCGCTGATTGTTATGTTCTGCTGCACCTGCGTGTACATGGTGTTCACATCCTTGCCACCATAAAAGTCTAGCTCCAAAAAATTGGGCCGTGCCACACCGTGCTGGTAATCGAAGCTAGACGGATACAGTACATGATGCACATAGCGAGTAACCTCAGCCACTTCATCATGGCACACGTCATAGGTTTGCAGGAATCCACCGTCGTCCACCTCGAAGCCAACCTCCACCAGATCGGTGCCGCCATTGCACTCCCGTCCCGTACGCCGAGCCGTGTACGTGGGCCAAGCCTCACAGCTGAAGTTGGCAAACGGATAGATCAACCCATCCACCAGAAAATACTTCTGTTGGAGGCACTGCGCGGTCACCCTACTGCGCTGCTCGAACGGCGCCTTGAAGCCATCTGGATTCGTGCAATACATATCGAGCAATTCACCATTTTGTAGGCGCACCGTATCCGTGGGATCTGGTACAATAATCTCGTAGGAATTATAGCGGGCGAACAGCGGCGCCGGATCATTGAGATCTCCATTTACACGAAACTCGCAATCCCCGCTCACTATAACACCCTCGTCGGCCTGCGGTAGGACACGAGGTATGCGCGCTGATGCAATGGCAATGGCAGCAAAAAGCAGTGCCAATGGCAATAATAGACGGACACCGGACTTCATACTGCGATATTCGATTCGCGTATGTCAACCCTTCCACGAGTCGCACATCATTTTTATACGTGCGATAGTAAATAGTTTCAGCGATATGGCACACTATCGCTCCGAGCATTCGAAGCACGAAATTTATTTATGGCAATAGGTAATCTTTATTTTATTATTATTTTTTTTTTTTTGTTGGACGTTGATCAGTAAAAATATAAAACTTAATATACGAACCATAAAGTCAATCCAACCAAGGGAGCTTTGAAACTGCAACCACTGCACTAATTAAATTAAAAACAAATAAATAATAACCAGCATAAAATTAAACATTAAATATTTAAAGCCTTAACATCCATTATGCTCTACAATTAGCAAATTCGAGTTGTCATACCTGAAAAAATAAATAAAGATAATATAATTTCAAAAAACTGTTGGAAAATATAAAGAGATGTGATTGACTTGGTCAACAAAGAGCTTATCATTCAACCGACTCTATAATCTATATGATTAAAGCATAACAAATTTAGCCAAATAATCCGCAAGGTAATTTTTATTTACAAATCTTACAAACCGAACCTCTTAAATGGCTTATCTGCTTTGATAACTCTTATATAGGTCTCTAGGATCCCATTATCATGGTTGGAGTACATTAACGTGACATATCTGACATGTGAGTGCCCGCGTTTCGTACTTATCGGTTGAATAATACCTATGAACGTATGAAATCGATGCCTTCTTGAAAAGATTATGCATTGTGAATGAAAAGCAATGAAAGCCATTTATTACATGTATAACTGATTTTGCAAAATTTTCTATCAGGCATTCAAAAATATAATATATGCCTAGAAATTATTAATTAGTAGGTATACAAGTAAACTGTGCGAGTTATCAAGTATTTTAGTCACACATTTCCTAGTAAATAGATGGGGAAAACCTTTAATCAGCCACCTTTTAACTTGATAAGTTTACGTACTCTTATGTGGTATTAAGTTGAAATACATTTTTAGCTTTTTTGCAAAATGCAAAACCTTACAAGAATAGTAAATTATCATTTACGTTAGTAGCCACAAGACTTTCGAGTCAATGATGGGTTTTTGGAATTTGATATTATTTTTGCCCAGAAAAAGTCGGACTACATATTATACCATATAGCTCTTATCTTATTTTGTAATATAACATACTATATTATACCACAAAGCTCTTAATCGTTTAAGAAAATAATATTTGCTAATTTTATCTTATTTAAAAAAAAACAAATTTATTTTTTAGTGGAAATTTGCCAAGTTGAAATTAAATTTAATTCTGGCTGCTTGATTATACTATATAAATAAATATAGATATAAGTAAATATAATCATAATGGAATAAAAGTTTATGAGCATTTGTGAATAATTGTACTTCGATTGGCTAGCTCGCATTGAAGTTAGTGGAAAATTTATGACTAACTAATTATTAGAATGATAATAACAATAACATCAATAGTAATTGATGCATGTATAACAAATAACACTCTTTTATGTCAAATGCCTTTTTAATGTTGTTAAAAGTGCAAACTCAGTATTAGAAGTAATAAAACGATGCCAAAACCTATTCACTTAAAGGAACAAGCACATAGTATTTCTCTCGTATTCACTTCCAGTGGCATGTTAATTAATTAAAACTGGCAATACCCGCACGCTGCACACATTTCTAGTCTGAGGCGAAATCTGTTTGGCGAAACCGAAACGCATTCCATCAAATCAGCAGCAGGATCATTCATCAATACCAATGGACAAGAATCTGAATTGAGTGAATGCTGCGGCCAATCGCAAATGGAACATAGCTGGTGGAAATGAATGTAGAAACACCCACGACACTGTCGACTAATTTGTGGCACAGTTCGTGCGTTCGAGTTTTTATGGATTGAATGCGAGGGACGGGGCCGCAAACAAGAACAAGAAAGGGGGAAAAACAATGTAAAACAAATCATTAGGTAATTGAATTTGGAAATACAATTTATTCGTATTTGTTGCTGACAGCTGCTACTCACAGAACAAAATAAAAATAATCTGCAAAATAGGCTGTCAATAAAATGCAATAAATATGTAGACATTCGACTACATCCACACATCCACACACACACGTAGAAGCATGTTGGGCGAATTGCCTAAAAATAAATTTTTCGAAACATGAGCAATTGGCCACTTGACATATTTCTATTTTCATATGACTGCTTATCAATGACAATTTAATTCTATGGATGTGGGGAGATTAAAATTTATGCGGCGAAAAGGAAAGAAACGCATAGTTGGAACCAGTTGTTCAGATAAAAAGCATATGAGCGTATGAACTAGATAAAAAATAGTAATAATAAATAACAGTCAATGGAGACCTGAAATTGTTATTGTAGTGGACTTTGAAGCTGTAATATTATTGTTTCATAAGGAATTGTGCATTACGGTTCAGTTTTGTTTCATATTTTGAAGAGTTAAGGCATACTATAGAAAAAAGATATTCACACTTTAACTTACCGAATATGAAAATAAAAAATATAAAATAAGGAACTCTGCTTTCTTCAGCGTATTCGAACCCTATGTCCACGAAAACATAATTTCAATATTTAAAATAGTTGATTGAAATGCGAACCTAACGTATATTGTGCATTTACTAATCAATATTTTCAATCAAAAATTACATCACCTTTTCATTAGAGACTTTAAACATTATTTAGTATTACAATTTGCATCCACATCCTATTAAAATTTGAAGAAGGCCTCATTTAAGCCGCTTATAAATAAATGAAAAATTGAACATTTTGCTCAATGATTTGTCATTTACATAACAAAGCGGCAAAAAAAAAATGTGTATGTGACATTTATCAAATGCAATATGTTTGCCAATTTTATGTAACCGACATAATTTGTAATACATATGCAAATTAGGCAACGCGTTTAATTTTTGCCAGCCACCGATGCGGCAACAACTACAACAACACGTGCGCACGTGTCCTTCGCATTAATCAATTATTTTATTTAGGCGTAAGTTTAGCGTTTGAGCGTGACAATTCGTGCATAAATCCTGAGCATTAATTTATGGCAACTAATGCAAATACATGGCGTATGCGCAATTTCTCGTTTGTCCAATTAAAGCAGAGCGCCCTGTTACTATAGGCAATATTATCAAGCCAATAGGACAGTTACCAACGAAATTCAATCAATGGACCCTGAAATGGGGCAATTGGGGCCAGAGGTGAAGGCCCGTTGTGCCCCACTTAATAGCAATCTTAATTATGCTTTTTCCATTTTCCATTTTGTCCTTCCCAGCTTGCGGCTCAATTAAAAGTGCATTAAGATACATCCTGCCTCAATCTCACAGCCACAAGGTTAAGGCGAAATATGTCGCCTGATTGCACTTATTTAATGAGACTGCATGGTTTAAGAAGGTAACCGCAAATTCAATTCCGGCTTCTACATACACTCACAAAACTTGTATAGTTTAATGCGACAAATATTTTAAGTAAAAAAGTAAAGTAGTAGTAGTAGTAGTAGTAAGTATAAAAACTAGTAGTATAAAATAATATGAAGTAATATAAATATTTATAAAGGAAAAAGGGACTACTTTAGGAACTCTTTGGGGCGCATTTTTTTTTAAGAACTAAATATTAAATTAAGACGTGAGCTTAAAAGTATGATCGAAATATAATTGGGGAAACTCAATTCGTAGCTTAAAAAAAATTAATAGTTCCGAATCAATAAATTTTATGAGCCCTGCACCAGAATGATGAAAATCTAGCAAGTTATGCCAAGAATGCCAAATAAAGGAATATCAGTCTGTCCGTGCATATAAGAGAGGAAGTTTTTTAGAAACTAGAAACTTTCTCTTCTAGAGGGAATCAGTGTGTTGTGTAGCCTTCTTAATTCTATTGACTTCTTAGATAAAGATCTGATCTAGGTTGAGAAATGTTCTAACTACTCGATTGTATTTAAACAATTAGAATGTATATATCGTAAAATAATTATTATAAGAAGTTTGTACCGATAAACGAAATGGTTAATCTTAATATGTATATTCTTAGGTCAGTCTTGTTATATTGATTATAATAAAAAGTGCCCAATTCTTTAAATGTGGACCCCAGCTTGTTGCTTCAAGTTATATGTTTCTAATTTTGTTGTATCTGTGCAATTTGTTTTAATTTGAACAACACTTGCGCGCCTTAAAGTCCAACTACAGCCTAAAGGGCAGAGCCGACCCCGCCCATCGTAAATATTTTATGACAACGCGTGTAGCCGCACATTATTCATTAAAATTTGCTTCATCAACAACAACAACAAGGACGCCAATGACGATGACAGCAACAGCAGACCCAGGAGCTGGAGCAGCAACAGCAGCAGAATCCTGCTGGAAGGAGCAGAAGAGGACACGAAATTGAACAAACGAGCGAGCAGTAAACACGAGCGTGAACAGTAAAAACTCCAATTACTCAAGCGAGTCGTCCGTCAGCAGCAGTAACAGCAATAGCAACAACAACAACAACCACAACCACCCAAATATAACTTCAAGTGAGGTGCACAATAAAAAGCAAAAAAAAAAAAAAACACACAAACAAAATAAAATGTATATATGCAGATGCGCATGAGTGTATATTTGCTTTTAATATCCCATTCTTTGCATAATTCATACACACATCACTGGTGCGGACCACAGCCACAGCTTTAAGAAACCCTTACCATACTTACCCTCATTTCAAAATTCTACCCCTACCGAATCTCGCTTAAAAAGGTCGGATGGCGAGCTGAGCGCTTTGTTTTTTCAAACGCAGCCAAAGGCAAGCTTTTTAATTGACACTTGAACCGTAAGCAATGAAAAAAATTCATACATGCTATTTATGTATGTGTAAAAAAAAAGTAGTCCACAATACTTGTAATTAGCTCTTTTTGTAAACTCAATGAAGGTTGCCATGGCAATAAGCATAAATGCCATGGACTTTGACTTCAACAGGTTTTGATGATCACAAATTATAATGATGTTTTTTTCCATGGA